GACCCAATAAACTGAGAGTTGGGAGTGCTAGAGCTCTCCCGGGACCTCGCCACCAGGAGAGACGCCAGCATGGAAGCCCCGACTGCTACCACTGCAGCTGAATGTCCAAGGAGACTACAGACACGAAAAGAAACCCCTAAGAGAGAGATGATGAAGCATAGGAGGTATAGGTGTCGGCTGAGCTCCTCAGACAAATAAGCTGAAGATCATAGGACAGAAGGATTCATCAGCTATGGAAAGGATTCATCCTGGCTATTCCAAGTGAAGACGACCCTAGCTCAGAGCTGAGGTTATCTGTTCCAGGATCGCGTTCGCCCTGTTTACTTCCCTGCCAAGTATGTTTCAAAAACTCCACCCCGACGCAGAACACGCAATCTTAATAAACTATCACACAGATTTATTAAAAACTCTATCTGTGTCTAATGTATTTCTCCGAGGTTTTAACACATGACAGACCTGAACTAATGAAGTTAATTCCTTCAGTTTGATCACTATTTGAGTGACTTCCAAGTGCCAAGTGGTATGCCCTGCCAGCTGCCAGGGGGGCTTCTGTCTTCCAGTAGCTCGGTCAGTAGTTGGCATTCAGATTAGGGAAGCTGTTCTCTTTCCCAAGGGTAAGGAACAGAGCAACTTACCGCCGAGGAAATACATCTTTCCAGCTACACGTTCATAGCAAAGCAAGGCTCATATTAATAGCTGGTGACTGTGGACACTGCTGCGCATTCATCTCCATGTTTATCCTATCCTGCTTTACCCCCAGGCACTCTGTCACGACGGCAGAACCGCAGCATGTCATGCTGTTACTTACTGCAACTGTAACTTGTAAAATTAAACTTCAGAACTGAGACAGGCTAAATGATTGCCTACTTTAAAAAATATGTGTATGTATAATTTACATACCACTTCAGATAAGCTCTTAAATCATGAGCCCTAAAAGTCAAAACTGTCACCATTTTTAAAAATCAGTTTTAGTATTGCAGTTCTTCCTGCACAAAAAGACGTGTGTGTGTGTGTGTGTGTGTGTGTGTGTGTGTGTGTGTGTGCGCAGTTTTCTAAACAGCATTTTGCACTGTCTGTTACAATCTGCTTTTCAGGTTTTATGGAGAACAATTTACTTCTCCCACACTATATTTCTATGCTCTAAGAAGGACCATGAAATAGGCTAAAACTCACATATTTGCTAAAAACAGATTAGTAATATAAAATTATTTCTACTTGGGTCAGTGACATGGCTCACCGGATAAGGGTACAAGCTACCATGCCTGACAACCTGAGTTTGACCCTTGGGACCCACATGGTGCAGGAAGAAAATGGACTCCTGCAAGCATGCACATATATATATATATATATATATATATATATATATATATATATATATATATATATACATGTGTTCACATACACATGAACACACAATAAATAAAAAGGTTATTAAAATACTTTTACATACTAGAGAATGATCAGAGAAACATCTGAACACCTACCGTGTACACTGTAGGGGGTCTTCACACCTGTATCATCTCCCACAACCCTCCACTCACTGGAGGGTGGAGTCTGCCCTGTAATCATTTCCAAAATAGTATTTTTGAAGAGATGTACTTTTTCATGAAACTGTCTAAGCCCTCCATTATCAGAGTGGATTCTTATTTACTAGATGTCTGGGTGGCTTTACACAGTCAATTGGGTCCTGAAAAGTTGGAGGCAAATCAACTTTTATGTGAAAATCATTTTCACATAAAATTGCATTATAAGAGCAAATATGCCAAGCCTCACCTCTGACTGACAATCGGCAGAGGGCTTGCTGAAACTCTCCTGTTCAGTCCCGTGCACAGCCTCAACCCCACAACTCTGGTGAGTTTAGGTTTCATGAGTTTAGCCATGAGGAGATCCAGAAGTAAACAGTTTAAACCAGTACCCACAGCCTGAGACATCAGCAACACAGCAGGAAGAAAAAAATACATTCAGGACACACAAAGCGATGCCACGCCCCCCTTGTACTCAATTCTAACAAGCTGACGGAAAACAAAGCATTGTCTTATAAGACCATTCTGTTAACTCACATTCTTCTTCCACAGTGTCTGGCCAGAATTACCATCATAGTCTATCCTCAAACTAGGGCTAGAAGAAAACTTGGAAGGATACAAAAGCTCATGACCTTTGTATTCAAATGTGCTTGCCACAAAAGGTGTTTATATGGCTACCAGTTATATATATGAGCTCAAATGAAGCCTGTGGTAATCGGTACACTTAGGTCTCACTGTATAAATGTCCTCTGCATCTTTCTGACTTAAGGGAGGCATGGGAACACTTGGCTTTTGACATCTTCCCTGATAAAGACCAGGCATTAGAAGTGGTGAAACAAAAGCCTAGAGCAAGCCACTCGGACACAACCTTGAGCAAAGGTTGCTCAGTGCCAAATCCAACATCATACTAAAGCGCCGCAGCCTGGACATGGTACGAGGTGTGAACCATCTTCGTCCTTGGTGGCGTGCTTGAATCAGTCACAACAGACAGAACCAATGAATGGAGAAGTTCTTCATTCATATCTTGTGACTCTTCAAGAGATTCAAGTCACTTCTTTTAAGTGTGTGTGTGGTGGTGGTGGTTCTGGGTGTGTGTGTGTGTGTGTGTGTGTGTGTGTGTGTGTGTGTGTGTGCACAAGAGACAGAGAGAGGGCCCAAGCACATCTGAAGGAATGGAAGACAACCTGACAACCTCAGGTGTCATCTTAAGGAACTTTGTCCCCCTCCTTTGACAAGATCTCATCAACCACTTTATATGGTGCCCTATCAGCTCCCAGAAATCCATGCAAAATGACTAAGGGAGGTAGGTTGGAGAAGAGTAAATTACTAGTCAAGAAAGCAAAATTATCAGGTTTTTCTGTTGTTGTTGTTTTTGGGGTTTTTTTTGTTGTTGTTGTTTGTTTGTTTTCAGCTAAAGAAGGAAGGAGGAAGCTAAGGACACTGGGATCCTTCTGGAATGAACTTTTTCCGGCTGGAGGATGTGGATCCTCTCTACCACCCAAGTGGACGGAGGGCAAGTGGAATGTATGTTCTAAGTGAGAAGGGGTGTATGGGTACAGTTTATACAAACTAGATAAGAGCTGGAGGACAGAGGGACCTCAGCCCCCCTGAGACATTCTCCCATCAAGGGGTCCAGAGCACGTGTTTCCGTTGCCTTCCTAGCAGTCCTGCTCTCTAAGCCTAGTCTGCCCAGTACCAAACGTTAGAAGAGATTACGTTTCAGTGCTGCACCTCTGGTCTCCGAAGTGCTAATTCCAGCGTAGTTTCCAATGCCTTTAAATACGCTGGCTTGTGTTCTCCCACCGACCCTCCCTTCCTTAGAAGTAGGAAAACAAACAGATGATGGCGTCCAGATTAATTTCCAAATCCTATCAACTGGATTTCCAGACAGCCAACACAGCACACATCCCAGCTCAAGTAGGGAAAAGGGTGGAAACCCCGAATTCTGCACTGAGGACTTCACCCACCCTTCCTAACCACCACCCCATCTTCCCCCATCAGAGCTGAAGTAGTCCAGGCCCACTCCACGCGTGTGTCATCCTGGTCTATCCCAATTCAACCAAACTCAAAGGTTATTCTCCTTAGGTAGAAAGTGAGCCCATCGCTCCCTTGAATTGGAAGGCGTTCCTTAGAACCATGTGTGTATTGAGCTTGTCAGTTCCCCCACGCGTCTAAAAAGGAAGAAAAAAAAAAAAGTCCTGCAGGAAATCTGTGGCCAAGCGGCCCCCTCCCAATGTCTGAGTCAGAGTAAAGCGTCTTCACCGAGCTTCTGGTTGATCAGGGTGTATCACTTTCAGAGCAGCTCAGCAACTGAACTTATGGCTGTCTTCCAGCCACGCAGAACATAAGCTCTATTTTAAAACTCTTTTCCTAACTCACAGACGAGGAAGGTATCTCATAGGTTGTCAACTTCCTACTGGAAACAAATCACTTCCCTCTCAAACTGCGCTTGCTATCTCTCAAGATGAATGCGTGTTCGGGTGTGTGTATTTTTATCTTTGGCCAAGCAACTCTATAAAGCAAAGAAAGGCACCCCCAAATGTTATTATCAACATGCCTGAGCCATTCAGGGCCTTCACAAGAGGAATGAATGGGCGATGGAAGCCCTTCAGCCTAAGGACTTCTCCCACACAAACATTAAATATGGGCAAAAAGGGGGAAAAAAAAGGATCTATCTCTGGAGGGAGGGGGGCAGGGTGGATGATAAGGAAGGACATTAAGCAGCTGAGCAAAGGCAGCCCAGGCGCCGCCGCCGCGGCACTTCCCGAACTGCCTGCAGAGGGGAGAGAAATCTGCTCATGTAATATAAGCAAGCACCCTCGGGCGGCCGCGCAAGGGCACAAATAATAAATACACCCAGGAAGGCAAACAGATGTACAGAAAACAAGCCACCCCGAAAAGGTCAAAACTTCAGAAATCCCGGGGATCACATCACCCACATAAACGCACCATCAGTGGGAGCGAGAGAAGGGACTTGGAGACTTAGCAAAAGATTCTAAATTTGGGTTTTGTTTTTTTTTTCTCTCTCTCTCTTCCCAGCTCCTGCTTGCAAAGTAACAGTGGCTACAGGCAAAGCTAGAGAGAGCAGGAAGGCTGAGGGCGGCGCGGGGTGCGGGTGGGAAGGGAGGGGTGTCTCACACCAGCCACCCAGGCCTCGATGTGACGAAAGTCGTCAGCAGCCCTAACCGCATCCCAGCCCCTCCACCCAGCAAGCAGACGCCCCCCCTTGCAGCTCCCCCAGCCTGGCTCCGGTCCCTTGCAGCGGGCAGCCCCAGCAGCCCCGCAGCGGCAGCAAGCAGCAAGCAGCAAGCAGCAGCAGAAGCAGAAGCAGAAGCAGCAACCCAGCCCGGGCAGAGTGCCGGCAAACGCCAGGATCGCGGCTCCCATCCTTTCGGCAGACAACCGCCCCCCCCCCCCCCAGGCCTCCCTCCTCGCCCACCCGGGATGCCCAGCGCGCCGGCGGTGGCTCCCGCTTACCTTGGGCGCTCGCGGGGGGGGGCTGAAGGTGGCAAGCCCCCCGCCCCCCGCCCCTGGCCTCCTCGCCTGCGCTCTTCCTCCCTCCTCCACGTCCTCCTCCTTCCTACAGTGTGGCCGGGGCTCCCCCTCCTCCCCGCCGCCTGGAGTAAAAGCAGAAAACCCCGGAGCCGGGCCCGCGTGCGTGCGTGCGGGAAGGCGGCGTGCGGCCAGCTCTCCAGTCACTGAGCGCGGCGCGCCCGCTCGCAACTAAAGTGTGAAAGAAGCGGTGGCCGCGGCGGCCGCGCCACGGAACAGCCCCCCGGGAGTGGGCAGGGAGCGAGCGGGAGCTGGCAGACTCGGAGCGAGGAGGGAGGGGACCTCCGCGCCCAGTCGCTCACTCGAGGGGCGGGGGCAGCCAGACACTCCCCCGCCGCCCGTCCCCTCCCCTCCCCTCCCCGGCTCCCGCGCGCGTCCGGCTCTCCTCCCCCGGGGCGGGGCCTGCGGGGGCCGCCGGGCGCGGCGCTCCGGGAAGAGGGGCCCCGGGCGGCCGGGACTGCGGGGAGGGAGGAGGGTAGGCAAGCTGGAGGATGTCTGTCTGCTTGTGTGTGTGTGTGTGTGTGTGTGTGTGTGTGTGTGTGTGTTTTGCAGGAAGGGGCCGACTGCGTGTCTGTGGCGGGTGTGGGTGCAGCGGGAGGGTGGTGTGTGTGTGTGTGTGTGTTGCATGGAGGGCGAGGTGTGTCTGTGTGTGTGTGATTTCGCGCGCACCCATGCTGGAGGGAGGGCAGACCCAGATAGGAAGGCTATGTCTTGGCTGGCCTTCCCGGGGCCTGTCACTCGGTCGGTGGCATGGGAACCGAGGGAGGCTTCCTGGGAGAGGGGGAGGGGAGACGTCTGTCCTGCAGATCCGGAGACCTGGGCGCCCTACAAGAGGGGCTGTGCCTGCTCAAAGCTGACTGGGGGAGGCTGCACCGCCTCGCCCTACCCCTCCCAAGCCGGGCTGGGACGGCCGCAGCCAAGGCCACGAGGCCCGCCTCTGAACGTCCCCACCTTGCCTCGGAGCTGCAGCGCCTGCAAGATGAATGAAGGAAGCTTCTGCGACTTAGGAAAAGCCAAAAGCTGCTGGGAAAGGCGCGGATGCCCTGCTCTGCTTTCCCCCACCCTCCCGGGCCTCCTAGGGCAGAAAGGGCGAGGCCGGGCCATCTGAGAGATTGACAAGGGACCCAGAAAGATCGTCCCCCCGCTAGCGGGCCGGTTCTTTATGGACCCCCACAGGTCAACCAATTTCCTTCCTTGGGAAAGGAATATTTGTCTCCTCATCCCAGGCATACTGGGCATTTCGTGTGCACACTGAATAATTGATCTTTCTGCACTGATAGCCTTTGCCTGTCTTTTGTGCAGCCTCCCCGCGCTTCACTGCTCCTTCATTGCCTTAGACACGTGAGGAATGCCAGGCGCCCAGAGCGAGGACACCCAGGAAAACAATGGGGGTAAAAGATCCTCCCCAGACCTCCCCGATTACACACACAACCGAATCGCTTTCCACATTCAGCCAGGATGAAGTTGGAAGACAGACGGAACAAGACACAGCTGTGACAGTGATAGGACCCTTAATTGAAAAGTAAATTCGTAATTTGGCTTAATGAAATGAGCTGAAAACCCACCCATTAGTGTCTGGAAAACCGGCCTCTTTATTTTTAAACACAATTCTTTTTTCATCTCTTTTTCGACTTCAAAGGCTAATGTTGCAACTCAACTTGGATTGCGTTTTTTTTTTTGTTTTTGTTGTTGTTTTGTACCTATATTTTAGTTTATTTTTCTTCCTGTAACCTGGATTTGTAGCTAGCTCCTTGGAAGGGAGTGGCTAGGAAAGGACCGTGCTTGTGGGAATTTTTATCAGCTTTTCTTTCTGCAAAATGGGATTGATAGTAGCCTCTTTCTCATAAGAAAATAAACAAGGCAAGACAAAAACAAAGTGCGGCGGCATTTCAAGTCAGACACTTTGTGTCTAACATAAGAAATAAACAGGAGTGGTCACTTTTCAATAACATTAGAAACGTTCACCCCAAATTTAGCATGCTTCTTTTTGTCCTCTCCAAGTGCCTTCTTGAAGTGGGTGGGTATTGCTGCTGAGTTTATCCAAATGTAGTCCACCATTCTCTGGGATGTTTAGGACATTCCCCACAGCTTCTCTAACAATAAAATCAAAGAAATATATAACCAGTGTGCAGATGTATGTGTGTGTCCATGCCAACATTTACATAAAAGGAACTGTTAATATTCTGATTTATCCCTTGAAATCCCACCCCTTGGCGCCGCCATGTGTCCTGACATAAAAGCCTCATTCTAAGGGAAAACTCCTCTTCCTCTGTCTCTCTTTTCTGCTTTTCCTCCCATGAGGTGCGTACCCTTGACCTCTTTCTCTTCCTCTCTTGTTTCTTCTCCCCCTCTTTCCTATCTTTCTCTTCATTTCTCTATTATAATAAACTCTCCATGTGGATGCAGGGTCTGGGTTGTGAATTACTGGCCGCAGCCACAGCCCTGCCCACGTGGCATGCATCTGCCCAGCCCATCACTGCATCTTCCCAGCATGCCAGCATGTTTCCCTGCACGTGCGGGATACCCTTGCGGGGGTCCCCCATACAATAATTCATAACATTGGCGCTCAACCTCGCCCGGCAATCCCACTGCTTTCTCCTGCCTGCTGGCGATCTGAGGAGCTCTGGGATCCTGGACCACCCACCATTTTTCAGGCTCTTCAGGTGAACAGCACAGCAGGGGACTCTTCACCCTACTGGACTGGTAAGATTCCTCCCTTCCCTTCTGGCCATTTTCCCACAAGTGAGGATTTATCTTGTTTTGCTAGCTGGTACCATGTGTCTTTGGGCTCTAAGCCCTTCGGCCCCTGTCCCTATGCAATGGCATATGGAGATGGCCTGTGCCCTCTCAATTCCACGGCCCATAGCCTTTGTGACGATGGTTCATTGGCTATCTTGCACTGTTATTGTTGGCCCTCGCTGACCCTCTGGGACGCCGGAGGTCGGTCCAATAGGCCTTATACCTCATTGTGTAAAAATGTGCCTACGGCCCCCCACCCCCACCACTGCCGCTGACCCATGGCTTGGGTTCACTCCCCTGTGGCTGCTTACACATGCTGCAACCCCAGGGTGGGGGGGTGGGGGGGTTCCTTTCTCCCGTCCAGCTGCACTGCTACTTCGCCATCTTTCCTTCACAAAGTCTATTTCCTATGTGCAAATGAAAATGTATGATTGATATGGCCATCTATATTTACTTCTGACTGACTTTTAAATACTTCAATTATCTGTTCCTTATCTGCTCAGTTTATTTTGTGAAAAAAAAAAAAACCCACATGAACAGGCGGTCAGGCACCATATTTGATAGGGGAGATCACATGATCAGGCTGTGCCATCTTAAGGGCAATCACATGATCAGGGTGTCATCTTCAATAAGGGCATCCACATGGTCTAGCCACCATCTTGGCTAAGGTCAAAACAGCCAGGTCATGTGACCTAACCACCATCTTTACCAAGAGCAGCATGGGCGGGCCACCCAGCACTCAGGCCATCAGTATGGAGGGAGGTTAGGGAATTGCCTCCCCCTGTGCATTGTTTTACTATCATTTATGGGCCAAAGAAAAGTCCTCTGTCCTTGGCCTGATGTCCCCAGCTGCCTCCCTCTGGCTTGAGCCCTCTGGGCCAGGCAGAGGTCCAGTCACGGCCTGGTGTTCATTCCAGCTGCTCGTGTGGGTGGGGCGTGGAGACGTATGTGCTCCCCTCCAGGGCATCAGTGGAACCACATGCAGGCTGTTTCATTATATTAAGACTTTAAATTTCAGATTTTAGCATTAATACAATTTTGATACACTTCGGGTCACAAAATCATGATTTTTAATTTTCCTTGGTTACTCATTATTTGATTTTCTACTATATGATTTCGGTACTGATTAATGATACTAATTTATCTAAACACTTTTATTTTTTTCCTCACCTGTCTATTCCTGAGGATGATATTTCTCACCCTCCTGGTCTCCCTTTCCCAATCACTAAGACCATGGGCCAAAAGATTTTTTAAAAGTTCAAATATTAACTCTGTCTCTAGTCTATATCTGTTCCAGTGAGCTTCCATCTGGCTGACTAACTTCAACCTGTGACACATGGACTTGCTAAAGGTGAAATGGTCCAGCCAAACGTAATTATTTCTTTTCTCTACAGCTAGGTCAGAGTCCTGACCACCTGAATCCTGTTTCAGCTTGAAGCAGCTATGGAGAATATGTTGTCCTGTGCTTCCTGTTCCCAGGACAGGCTGTGGGGCTAGGTTAGGGATGGAAACTGATGAGGGAATATCTTTCTTTATGCTGTGAATATGTATTGCTCTGATTGGTTGATAAAGCCATTTGGCCTATGGCAAGACAGCTTGGAGGCAGGTGGGAAATTCAAAGAGAGAGAGAGGAAGAAGGTGGGGGGAGACGCCAGCAAGCCACCTAAGGAGCAACATGTAATGGGACGTAGGTAAAACCATGGAACATGTGGCAATACATAGATTAATAGTTATGGGCTAATTTAAGATATAAGAGCTAGCTAGCAAAAAGCTTGAGCCATGTCCATGCAGTTATAATCAATATAAGCCTCTGTGTGTTTACTTGGGTGGCTGCAGGACTGGCAGATGACGGAGATTTATCCTGACCTGGACTAGGCAGGACACAGGAAAACTTCTAGCTACAGAAAACCTTGGCATAGAGTCCACCAAGAGGGTCCTTTTCCTCTTCTTGGAGGCTCCTTTTCTCAGAGCTGGGCTGCACCCTGACTCACAAGCCCCTTTTCTTCTGTTCTCATTTGGCCCTGGGATCTTTCCCCTGTCGCTCTTCTTTGCCTTCTCAGGAGACAGCAAGTCCTAGTCTTATGGAAGCTGCTAAGATATGGGAGACTTAGGGAATACAAGCTGATAGTCAGCCATTCATACCTAATAGACAGGCAGTCCTCAAATGCTCAGAGATCTGCAGAATATGGCATTTAAAATGTTAATCAAAAAAAGCTTATTATATCAGGCAGAGACTCCCAGATCCTAACAGTGACCAAAGGTCTCCGAAAAGATGCCGACAATGGGCAACACTGACCTCTGGGCAAGTTGCCCAAATGAGACACCTGCCATCAGTATCCAGCCCAGACTGAGGACAAACAGCAGGATATCGGGGAATTGATTGCACCCCTCTTTGCCTAGATAAAACAAGATCAGTCTTCCCTATGTTCCTCTTCCATAGGAAAAACTCCCACCTCATGGCCCTGATGGCTTGAAGAGTGATGCTGTTCTGATACTTCTGCTAACGATGTGGAGACCTGGGTATGGCTA